CAGTTTAAAGGTCAATTGGTCATGTCGCAAATTTTTATAATTCTCATTCTTATAAAATAATAATAATGATAATAATAATAATAAAAATAAAAATAATGCAAGCTGTGTTAATAGGTGAATTGCCATATTAATTGGATTAAAGAAGCTACATACGTCAAGCTGTTTTTAATACTTCATATTAAAGTTAAATTGTGCAAACTGTAGCCAAAATTTCATTTTCATTTTAACAGTACAAAAGCAGACATATAAATAAGTCAGAATAAAACTAGTAAACTCCCGCACTCTCGTTTTTGCAAAGCACGTGGAAATCTGGACGTCTTCCAAGCTGACGAGCTAAAGTCGTTGCACAAAGTTGCATTTGTTTGGTACAAGTTGTCTGAGTGGTAAACTTAGTTCATTATTTGGCACTTTGCTTTGTATTGTGTTGTTTTAACAGGGATACTACTTCTTAAATGACAAAACTAGTGCTGCACTGGAGCACATGCTAGATTTGGGGAAATTTGCAAAATCTTTTGAGTGCCAGTTAAAAGACGAGCTGCAGCATTCTGCACCCTCTTACTGTGTATTACAGTAAAAGTACATAAACAGCTGTTATCTGTTAATTTATGCAACTAAGTATCAGCTCGATAATGATTTGTTTATCAAACTGAGAAATATAGTTCTCTGTAAAGACTTACCAGAGTTCTTGTTTTTATTTTCTCTTGCCATCTTGGAGATAGAAAAAACTTGTCATACAAGTCTTGATGCATGATGAGGTCGAGTGTCCTCAAGTCAGGTGTGTTGACTACCTTTTAATCCTGGAGTACGTGAGGTTTGAAAACAGAAACACACCCAGACAAAGGGGAGGGACAGAGGGAGGTGTCAAAGTTTGGAAATTTACCTGAAGTGTACAATAACAGAACTTGGTGATCTGGGCTTTTATTGTGGATTCCCAGTTTCCTTTCCACCCCTGTTAATTTAATATCTTCTCTTTGTGCATTTCCCTCCAGTAGTTTGTTTTTTTAATCAGCTGATTGCCATTCAGTGTGTACATGTAACATCTCTATGGCTCTTCCAGTTTGAATTGTCACATGAGTCTAATCTTGCAATCACTCATCACAATAGCAAATGCAATAGAAAAAATCTAAAACACCAAAATTGAAACATTTCTTCTATTTTTTTATAGTTACATTTAATGTTTTATAATAATAATACAAATTTGTTTTTGAGTTGGTGATATACTTCATATACCTTTAGCTGGATAAAACAAACTACATATTCAAAATCTTTTCTTCATATTTATTTAATAAATGTAAATTGTGGAAAATATATCCAAAGTTACCTCTTAGCAGTGTAGATATAGTTAAACATGTAATAAGTCATAATGAAACTAGCAAACTCTTGTGCTTTCACTTTAGAGAAGAATGTGAAGATCTGGACTTCACCCAAGATGAGAAATTAAAGTCAATGCTGGAAACTCCAGCGTTGACTTTGGTAAAGTCTGAGTTGCAGTCTTAGTTACTAGATGGCCTGTCTTGATTTGTTTTGCAGATGTGACACAACCACACGCAGGTACCTTGTCAGTGTTTTATCGTCAGTGACAAGATTTTCATTTCTACAGAAACATAAAGTTTGTAGTTTCTTTTTCTTATTGCCATCATTTAACTCTTCAGTGTTCAGCTCATTATTAGCATTCTTTCTTTGAACTCTAATTGCTTTACGGCACTTTGCAGCTTTTTAATGCTTATGTTTGCATTGTCTTGTTTTTGTGTCACTTAATCAGAGTTTTAACAGTCGTCTATTTCTTTCCTTTTTTTACCATACCAAGAACAATATATCACATGAAAGGGTATGGAGTGAGCTGTTCAACACACTTTTTGGGGGTTTTTAACAACGCCCCTACGACTACAGCCCTGGCCTTTCAAGAGGAGTTGCTTGTTGCACTAAGTTCTCATGTTTTGCTATTCTCTCACCTGTACCACCTCAGTGGTTTCCCCCATTTGCCATGTTGTTCTTTCCATAGCATATTGCTGCTGTCGTTCTAATTTGCATGTTTTTTCTTTTGATTTCAAGTTTGAGCATGTTTGTTTTTTCCCTCACGTTCATGCTTTCCTTCTCTAGTCTCATTTCTTTCCTCAACCTTTTTTTTCCCACTCTCTCCATGTTTTAGATTTTTTGCCTGTTTTTTGGTTTTCAGGCTTCATCTGCTCCTCCTGAATGGTTTGATTCCACAAAATGACTAAATGGACCATCGCCTGGATTTAAAGTTTTTGAATTTTTTTGAGTTTGGAGTCCTGAATTTGGGGCTTTTATGGATCCTTTTTCCAAGTGGGCATACCAACATTTCTAATGACTTCAATCCAAATCCAAACATTCACATTTAAATAATTATATAGTTCAAGTTCGAGTTCAAGTTTATTTATATAGCACTTTTAAAACAACAGGTGTTGACCAAAGTACTGTACAATAAAATGGACAAGGCAATAAACAT